ATATCCTCATTCCAGGGCTTCTGGCATCTCTTTGTGTACCCATCTTCCTCCAACCCTATTGCTCTCCATCATGCCATCCTGGTTTATTTCCTCTTTAACATTTATCACTGTTTGAATTTATCTTATTTTTCTCCCAGCACCTAGAACAAAGCTTAGCACATGGCAGGTGCTCCATAAATAGCAGTTGAATGAATTGATGACTTCATTAATCCATTCTCAGCATCATCCTTTATAGGAAGTTGCAAAAATAGTACAAAGTCCCAAGAACCCTTCACCCAGCTTCCTGCAAAGGTGACATCTTGTCTTATGATAGTACAATATCAAAGCCAATAATTTGATAGACGGATTTCTTTGAAGAGAAAATTAAATCATGTCATTGTCCTGTTTATTTGCCCAGTGGCTTCCCACTTCTCTTAGAATAAAATCTGTTTCCATGTCCTCCAAGGGCCTTCATAACCTGGCTCTTTCAAACTCTGCAGCCCCAGCTCCCCCTCCACTCCTTGCATGTCCAGCCCTAGTAGCTTTTGTCTTAGGAGTCATTTCAAGTCACCCAGCAGTCTCCCCTCTTTAGGTCCTTGGGTGCACTCTCTCCTCTGCCTAAAATATTCTACACATGACTGGTTCCTTCCTATTTTTCATGTCCCAACTTACACGTCCCTTCCTCAGAGAGGCCTTTGTTGACCACCCTAGGCCGCTCCTCCCCACCCTGTCCCTTGTTTCTTTTCCTTACAACATTAATCGCAGTTCATTGTTACATGTTTGGTTAATTTACTTGTTTACTATTTGAATCTTCCAATTTTGAGTGTAAGCTCAAAAGATGCCAGGTACTGTATTTTGCTCAACTCAGTACAATTAGAAGTTTGACATATAAAAACTCAGGCTTCAAAAAAACCACAAGGAGATACCATCTCACACCAGTCAGAATGGCTATCACTGAAAAGTCAAGAAATAACAAATGCTGGTGAGAAGGGAAGGCTGGCCTGGCACAGCTCACACCTGTAATCCCAGTCCTTTGGGTGGCCCAGGTGGGCAGATTGCTTAAGCTCAGGAGTTTGAGACCAGCCTGGGCAACATGGTGAGACCCCATCTCTACCAAAAATACAAAAATAAGCCAGGCGTGGTGGTACGAGACTGTAGTCCCATCTACTGGGGGGACTGAGGTGGGGGGATCATTTGAGCCCAGGAGGCAGAAGTTGCAGTGAGCCAAGATTACGCCACCGCACTCCAGCCTGGGTGGTAGAGCCAGATCCTATCTAGAAAGAAAGAAAGAAAGAAAGAAAGAAAGAAAGAAAGAAAGAAAGAAAGAAAGAAAGAAAGAAAGAGAAAGAAAGAAAGAGAACGAACGAACGAAAGACAGAAAGAAAGAGAAAGAAAGAAAGAAAGAGAAAGAAAGAAAGAAAGAAAAAGAGAGAGAAGGAAAGAAGGAAAGAAAGAAAGAAAGAGAGAGAAGGAAAGAAGGAAAGAAGGAAAGAAAGAAAGAAAGAAAAGAAAAACTGAAAAAGAAAAGAAAAGGGAATGCTTATACACTGCTGTTGGGAGTGTCAGTTAGTTCAGCCACTGTGGAAAGTAGTGTGGCGATTCCTCAAAAAACTAAAAACAGAATTATCAATTGACCCAACAATCCCATTACTCAATATATACCCAAAGGAATATAAATCATTCTATCATAAAGACACATGCATGCATATGTTCATTGCAGCACTATTCACAATAGCACAGACATGGAATCGGCTTAAATGCCCATCAACAGTAGACTGGATAAAGAAAATGTGGTACATATACACCATGGAATACTATGCAGCCATAAAAAAATAACACGATCATGTCCTTTGCAGCAACACAGATGGAAGTGGAGACCATTATCCTAAGTGAACTTATAAGTGGGAGCTAAATGACAAGAACACATGGACACACAGAGGAAACAACAGATACTGAAGTCTCCTGGAGGGTGCAGGGTGGGAGGGAGAGGATCAGAAAAAACACCTATCAGGTACTATGCTTAGTATCTGAGCGACAAAATAATATGTACATCAAACCTCCATGACATGAGTTTACCTATATAATAGACCTGCACATGTACCCCTGAACCTTAAATAAAAGTTAAAAAAAAATCCCCAAAATTCAGATTTCTGTAAGTGTGGAGTAGGTTTATACCTCATCACTCAATAACCAGCTAACTATACTCAGTAGTATACAGTTCATTAATCTCTTCCACACACAACCAACTCAGTTCCTATGAGGTAGGACTATCTGCAGCCCCCTTTTACAGACTAAGTGAGAATAGTAACATTCATTGATCACTGTAGTGGGTGATTTGCATGCCATATGTTGCTTTCCTTTGGTCAGCCTCTAATTTCAGCCATAGCTTGAAGGATTGTTATGGTTCATATTGATAGTGGCCCCCTCCCCACCTCATGCATGCACCTCCCAGGGCTTCCCCTTTATCTTTCCTCAAGGACCCTGTCCCCAGGAATGGGGGAAGGGATGGTGGTGATAGGACCCATGCCAGTGCCTCTCCCTTTTCCCCCAGCCCACTGCCTGAGATGTTAGCACTCAAGGCTTGTTTCTCTGAAGTCCTAGGAGCCTGCTCAGTCTCCTGGCAAGTGTAACCTGGAAATGTGGAAAAGTTACCACTGTTCTCGGCAACTCTCAATCAATAAGGGCTGGGGATTGGTAGGTGAACACTCCAGGTCCTGCTCCTTGATGGACAATTGCTGGAGCCATTATGAGCACTGCTCAGAGACCCTGATGAAACTGAGCTCCTACTGCCTTACCAGCAACAACACGAACACATCTTTTTATTGGCTTTGCCTCCTTTCCTGTCTCATTCTCCCCACTTTGTCACTCCTGACACCTGGAATCAACTCCTTGCACCCAACTCTTGTCTTAGCCTTGGTTGCAGGAAAACCCAAACCCAGAGGGCGCTTACCGTTTGTGAGAAGCTGTTGTAATTCTGCCACATGGCTAGATGGTTTATCTTTCTCATCCTGACATCAATCCTGCCAGGAAGATATTGTTGTTATCCCCACTGTAGAGATGGGGAAAGTGAATGAATGAGAAATTAAGTATCTTACCAAAGGCATTTATTGATCTGCCCATATCCCCCAGTGTTTGAAGGTGCTCCCTGGGGTGTTAACTCCCCTGCATTTCCAGGCTGCCCTTGCCTGTAGGCCGTGGCTTCAGAAAAGTCCCAGGGCTTTGAAGAAGGCTTCGAGGAAGAAAAAGGAGAGTTGAGGAAATGGCAGTGCAGTGATTCTCACCCAGACAGTCTGATATCATGGCCTACCGATTTAACTTCTTTGCTTTACCTCCTCCTAAAAAAACAAGGGTACAGGAAGGCGAAGTCACACCTTGAAACACAGCTAGTGAGCACTGAAGCTGAGATTCCAAATTAGTCTTATTGGATACATAGACTCAAACTCACCGGCTACTTTCTTTTTATGGCTCACACCTGTAATCCCAGCACTTTGGGAGGCCGAGGCAGGCAGATCATGAGGTCAGGAGATCGAGACCATCCTGGCTAACACAGTGAAACCCCGCCTCTACTAAAACTACAAAAAATTAGCCGGGCATGGTG